TATTAACATTTCATCAAGCTATGTATTAGCAATAAAAAAGTAATAAAAAGTGTATGCAATCCAAAAAAATTAACCCGGTTAACAGACCAATAAAACTGTAGCAACAAGATTAGCAACAACTCCAACTTAACAACTAACTATAAATCACAATTTAAATGCTTCATGTCATGATATGATTCATGCCAGAAGAAGTCACCGCAATGTTACATGTAGAAGAGATTGCTAATTTTGTAGAAGTCTTATTGAAAATTCTCCATTCATAGAGATCTCAAATCACATCCGATCCAACTGCATCCTCACATCACCGCGTGTACAAGCAAAAGAATTTTCAAATTAAGAAAGTTTCTAGTTAAATGTCAAAGTAATTAAATTACTGGGAGATTCTAAATTTAAAAAATTTAATACAATGGATATAAATAATTAAAACAAAAAAATCTTCGTAGCTTTTCATTTATTTCTGGCAAAGTAATTTAAATTTTGAAATAAAATGTTATGACCCTGAGTTATTGCTGTTAAAATATAGCCATTAAAAGTAGCTGGTACATTAATTAAAGTAAGATTGGTAACATTAATAATAAGTGGTTCACAGAAACAAACAAAAAACCTGCACAAACTTAAAATGAGTTTGACAGACAAAATGTAATGAATTGTTTAATATAATTCAATCAGCTATAGTCTAGACATGAATTAGAACAAGAATAATTTATGCCACACAGCAGACATTCATTTATTAAATTATTTTTCATTCAACTTATTCAAACTAGTTTATTGTTAGTTCTCTAAGCCTTCTACCTACCTACCCTACTGTTTTTGAGATAATTAATCATTTGTTCATTCAATCAAACCTAAACAATTCAACTAACATGCATCAATGAAGCCTTTATAAATAAGACGAATTTATGTCTTTAGTATAATTACCACAGTATAAATAGGCAACAAAGAAAAACTTAAGATTAATCAAAAATAATATTTGCAAATGAAAAATTTGTTTAAAGACATATGGAGCTATTAAATACTAGTTTGAAAACAATAAAGTAAAAGATATAAAAACAATAACAATAAATGTTGAGAGGATGGGCAAAGGAAGAACACAAGAATGATGAAATATATGGAAGGAGAAAAGTTATATTTCAGCAAAAGTATTAAATTTCAGTAGCTCCCCCAGCAGCCCCACCAAATTATATTCATTCAAAAACTTTCTGAAAAATGCCTATCAAACATAACTGTCCAACCTTAAGTGTGAACTTTATAATAATACTTACAATTATTTATGGAAAAAGTGATTAGTTTCTTCAAATGGAGAAAATGAATTAACAATAGCACTAACAAAAACTGTAAAATAAATTTTTTCTCCTGTTGTTCACGTTTGTTCAACACTTTGCAATGATCTTAAATAAACACAAAATGTTTAAAAAAAAAGCTTTCAATTCCTGTTGCATACTTATTAATGTTAAACAAATACCATTGTTTTCTAAGCTGGTTCATGCATAATAACTAAAACTGATGGCAATAACATTTATTTATTCATTCATTTATTAATTAATTTATTCATTCACTCATTCATGCACTCATTCATTCATTTATTTTCTTATTCATTAAATTATTCACCCACTCAATCTTTATATACTTATAGTCATATATACTTCTTATGCTCAATATAAATCAATTTATGTTGATAATTTTATGAATACCACTTCAAGTTTTCGATAACAATTTATTATTGGATAGCAAATAACGCTATTAATCATCACCTGAAAGTTTTTTGATATGCAAGTGTCTGATAAAGATAAAACTTTTATAGAAAAAAAAATCAAACTCCAATGTCTAACATTAAGTTAAGCCTAGATACATCCTGTCACATTAGATCATTAACAAGCCCTCAAAGTCAGTTGATTAAATATCAAAATTTTAAAGCGACTTGCAAGACGTTTTTAATTGCACACCGAAGAATTTCATAGAAGTTAACAAACAACACTGATATTGGGTAATGAGGATCGACAAATTTTAAAGTTATATTTCAAATTTAAGAAATTTCTTACTGCTCAGTTGAAGAAAAAAATTTGAATTACTTCATGAACCACCACTTCTAAACATTTAAAAGTCAATCTGTACGATTGTATGCAATGGTAACATTTATATATCAAATTATAAAATTCAATATACACCCACAATTGTTCTCAAAATGATAAAACACATTTTATAATTTTTGGTTGAATAAATATATGAAATAAATATGAAAACTAAATCTAACTGGTCATCGAAGAGACTTTCGTCTAAAAGAGTTTTATTCTTCTGGTCATCTGCATTGAATTTGCTCATGTATGACTGCAGAGAAGTGCCACCATCACTTACGTATCCACTTGACCTTTGATGACCCTGATATGATAGCAGATCACCATCTGACATGTAACCACCTTCGTTCTCACATAATTCTTGCCGATTAGCAGACGAATTATTGTTTGAAAATAATTTCAATGGAGAATTTGCAGCACTGTCGTTGTTTGAATGGTCAGCATGTAGATACTGCAACTTACTGGCAGTGGGTCTGAATGACTTGCAAGAAGGAGGTTGTGCTTGGTAGTGAGTGTTGTTATTGAAGGACGATAAGCTGTTAAGGTGGAAATATGGAGATGACATAGCAATAGGAGCCATTGGCTTGATGTCAAATGCACTCATGGCAGTATTGTCACTTTTGTCAAAATTAACATCGTCGCCAACCTTAACATTAATATCATTGCTTCTCGATTCACAAATTTCATGATTAGTAGAAGAACTATTTTTTAATCTGTTGTCGTTACTGCCATCTCTCGGAGAGGAAGAGAAGTCTTTGTTAACCTTCAAAATATCAGCTCCGTAACTGTTGTCCACAAACCAGGGATTGTCATCTGTGTTATCAGTTGTTGCGTAAGTTTGAGGATGTGGTGTGAAGGACGATGCAGACGTCACCACAGCAACATCAGCACTCTTACCTTCAACTTTTTTCATAAATTTTTTCTGAATTAGCGCGGGAGATGATGAGGGAGGAGCGTGAACGCCGGTCGAAGTAGATGGAAGTTTTGATTTTGGAAGCTGTGATGTGTATCTCGGCACTCGAGGTCTACCGCAACCATTTGTACCCGTTGTACCATCATTAGATATCATGTTATCAGCACCACTTCCACTACTGCTGCTGCTAGTAACACTGATGTTACTAATACTTCCTCTAACAGCCGGTTTGCTATTTTTGCTGTTAAATTTATTGTCGTCATCATTTATTTTGTTTTTGTCGTTCATATTAGCTTCCTTTTTAAGGTCTTTATACGATTTTTCATCTGACGTTGAATCTGTATTGTTGTTCAAACTTTTGGGAGCCTTAAACCCAAAATTGCTGACTTTTTTAATGTAAGAATTGTTTCTCTTGTTATCTTCATTAAAATTTCCGTCATGGTTGACGTTGATTTCGTCATTGTTTGAATAACCTCTATTAATCTTATCTGAGTTATCATTGCAGCTCCTATTAATAATATTAAGATTATTGCAAACCGACAACGAGTCATTTGATTTATTGCTTTTTCTGTAGTCATTAAATTGGAAATTATTTTCCGCATCCAACAATAGCGCTTTCATTGCATTTGTTGTTTTGCAATCTCTCAATGATGAATTAGTGCCTGCTACAGAAGATGGCGATGATGATGAAAATGAAGGACTCAGTATACCTTCCGCACTACCAAAACGTTTCTTAGCAGACGTATTATTAATTGGCGTCTTACTGAAATACGTTTGGGATTTGCCTGACTGCTTGTCGGATAGAACATCCTCCATTGACCTGTTTACCGTTGAATCATTCAACATTGTTGTCGTTGTCAGCAAGTTACCATTGCTGTTGTGGTTTTGAAAAGCTGGCTTACTTATCTGTCTCGGTTTCACGAGACCTGAAGGTTTCGTTGAGGTGGGCTTCATCAATTTTGATTCATAAATGTGATTTTTTGATGTAGTTGTGTTTGTTTCATAGTAAGCACTATTATTACCGTTGTTAAAATTAAGAGAATTACCATCCTGGCAATTATTAGATACAGTCTGCGGATCGGAACTCATGAAGGTGTTTTTTTTGTTCAAAGCTTCAACAGATAATTTTGTTTGTTGTTGTTGTTGTTGTTGTATATTACGTTGATCTTCGGCCATTTTTTTATATTCCAATCGATTTAGTGTAGTTGCAGGTGAGCAAATAAGTTTGGTTGAAGAAGAGGATGAGGCCGAGGATAACATTGAGGAAGAAGATGATATCGTTGATGTCATGATGTTGTGATCACAGCTTGATTGAACACTCGGAGTTGGAGATTTGAACTTGGTTGCAGATTCTGTTGGAGCACCTTCCTTCTTCAACTTACTGCTAACAGATGTTTTAGGTCTTGCGGGTTTAGATTTTTCAGAGGATTTGAACGATGGTAATCTGCTACCCTGACTAACATTTTTTGCGGGAGTTGTTTGCTGGGTTTGTTGCTGCTGTTGTTGCATAAATTGTTGCTGAAGCAGCTGTTGATGATGTTGCAATATTTGCTGTTGTCTGGCCATTGTATCTGCTAAATCAGTTTTCTTGGCACCAGTTGTTGTTGTCGACATAGTTACTGATCTAGGAAGACTGCTTTCTCTTGCCTTTGGCAACCCTTAAAACAATTTACATTCAAATATTTTCAATTCGAAAATCTGTAAAACTGCTCAAAGTAATAACCTCATTAAAAAATGGAGCTAACCTGAATTTGTAACGTTAGATACGTTGTTGTTGTTGTTGTTGTTGATAACGCCATTGTTGTTAATGTTATTGTTAGCCAAATTGTTATTAAAACGATCCAAAGAATGAGGCGTGGTGGATGACGAGGACGAGGACCTCTTGACAAATACTGGAATTGAACCCTGTTTAACTTTAACATCTGGCATATTCAAGGAGTTGATGATTTCAATGCGGTGATGATGAAGAAAGAAATGAAATAATTATAAACTGAAATCACGATAATTCCTGTCAGATTTCATACATCTATCTGAAAAAAAAATTTTTGAACAAAATTATATTTTGAACGAATCAAATTCATCAAAATTGAATATATAAAAAATACAACAAAACAGAAATAAAATCCAATTCAATTGTGTGTAAATAAGCTAGTTCCTTGTGTGCGTGCATGTGTGTGTGCGTGCGTGTGTGTCTGAGTGCGTGGATGTGTGTGAAAGTGTTGTGAGAGTGTGCAAATTTGCTGTTCTTCTACATGCAAGTAAATACCAAATCAACCAGTCTGTACGTAAAAAATTATAATTCTTATGAACCAGATATAATGTGCTATAAAAAAAAGGACAAATCGAAAAAAATATAATAAATTTTTGTTTTTGTAAAAATTTTCTTCAGATGATAATTCATGTCAGTCAACAAAGAAAATAAAATAACACTAAATACCGTGAGCTAAAAACATACAACATTTCCTATGCGTAAGGAAATGTTGTACATCAATTATATTCACGCAAATATATATTTCGCTAAATGTATACATTGCACATGTACGTAAATTTTCATGAAAATTTTCATGATGGATAATACTTGAACTTGGATAATAATTCTATGTTCAATTAATTAAACAATTTACAGAATATTCTGGTAAGGAAAATTGAAAAAACAAACTTTGAATTGATTAATGCCAACAATTCGGTAAAATTCACACAATACTGTGTATATATATATATATATATATGGTACATATATATGTATATAGAATATATTATATATATATATATATTTATATATATATATTTGTGTGAACATCATTTTCATGTCATTTTTCATAAAATTTTCACATTTATACGAATCCAAGCAATATGTACGATTAAATAAATCAAAGGTCATATATCACATATATAATTAATAAATGTATGAAGGGCTTTATACAATTATCCATTCGTTAATTCATGCAATTATTCCGTTATTAGTTTGTTCGTTCATTCATTCATTCATCCATTCCAGCATTCATTCATTTGTTTGACCTTTAATTAATTTATTCGTCCAATAATTTATTCATTCGTAATATGGTGAACTCATTGCTTGGAGATGAATAAATGCCATAGAGGAACATGAAGATGGTAATCACGCATTGTCTGGCAGCTCGTAATTGATAATAATAATTAATGTGCCAGGCAGTGCATAGGTGTGAGTTTATTGGTTGAATTAATTTTAAAAATCAACAATTTAAATGTGATAGTATCAAATAAATGAACAATTAATAATAATAATATTAGTAGTAGTAGAAGTATTTGTAGTAGTAGTAGTTGTTGTTGTTGTTTTAGTAGTTTTAGTAGTAGTAGTAGTAGTAGTAGTAGTGGAGTAGAAGTAGTAGTAGTAGTGGTAGTAGTAGTAGTAGTAGAAGTAGTAGTAGTAGTGGTAGTAGTAGTAGTACTAAATATTACAAATAACATACTTAATATAAACAATCTTAGTAAGTCTTACCAAGTTAATAATAGTGAAATAAAATCAATAGCTTGTTAGCAATGATTGATCTTGACGTATTGTACCATGTGCTGCATACAACATATCCATAAATGATGCTCATAAACCTCAAGTGCATGCGAGCACCACGTAAGACCAACTGGGCGGATTCATGCAAATAATAAATCTTGCTTGTGTACAAAACAACCTCCAAACATGGGTCACCTCAATTAAACGTTTAAACAACATTCAACTGACAAACAGATCAGATAGCATGATCAAACCAGACAAAAAATCATTAAAAAATAACTGTTATTAAAAAAATCAAAATTATAAAGTTAAGAATGAGCAATAACACTACATAAACTGATAAAATAATTCTCATCAGGCATAAATTTGCAGCCTACTGAACAAATTTTAATAATTTCTATAAAAAAAAATACTTAGAACTATAATTCATAGATTTATTCGAATGGTATGGTACTGAGCACAAAAGCCTCCATCTAACTTGATATAAGACGCATCCAAACACGTTATAAATCATTTAAGTGGCATAATTCCTAATTCTTCCGAATAACAATAGAGGAAGGATAAAAGCAAAAATTAGTTAGAAATAATTATATGGTAAAAAATATATAAAATGTGCGGAGATGTGTGTGTGTTCATGTTCTTGTGTTAATGTTCGTGTGCGTGCTCTAAGCTGTGAGTGTGTAAAGTAATGTAATATAAATGTATTTTTTACTCAGAAATATCAGCAATAGCCCACACAAAAAACGTTAATATTTGTGAATCAACGTTGTACAGTTTAGGCGGAAGTTTTTTTAAATGGGAGCCCAGTTACTGCAACCAAGGAACGACCAGTCAGTCTACTTTGAAATCATTGCACCATCTCGCTCCCACCTCGTAAAAATATATGTGCGTGCCGCACTGTGTGTAGTGAAAACATGCTTTCTAAATTAGCTTAGAAAAAATGCTTTCTAAAACACGCTGTGAGGACAGCGGTCGGTGTTCATCAGTCTAAGATGATGTGACGGCTTTTGAAATGTTGATACCAAAATACAAAAGTTTTTGTCGTGAACTTATTTTTGAAAATTTAAAACAATGTGTGATTAAGTTTTGTTCAAAACTTATAATTGTAAGCAGGTAACCTACATCGTTCATTCATTTTTTCAGTGCATAATCAGTACAAAATAAGTATATAGCAGCCATTAAGAAGTCAAAATTAATAAACCTGACAGTAATAAAATTAAAAATTGAAAATAATTTTTAAAGTAATTAAAAATGAAAAAAACACGTTTTTTACAAGCGTTATAAAAACAGAAAACATTAACAACAAAAATGTAATGAAACAACATCCTGGGCAGGGTGCGTTAAAATTATACTAGCTCAGAACATCAGCAAAATACATTTAATATGGGTTGACATCTGAAATTAAAAATTTTGCTAAAAGAACGGAAAGGAGTTTCACAAAAAACCAACACCTTCAATTAATAAAATGACAGTAAAACATACAAAAGAACTATGAACATTTCCTTTCACATACACTAAAGCGTACATCCATAAAAAATCACACATGTATGTATAATACACACACACACACACTCACTCACTAACTCACATTCACACACACACACACCCACTCACTAACTCACGCACACACACACACACACACACACACACACACACACACACACTCACTCACACTCACACACACACTCACGCACGCACACATTCATATATCCATGTAACCCGCCGAATTAATTAAGGCAACTATTACTACATGTGTTGGCAATTAGTTAATCATTCTTTTCTTCACATTCACAGGTTTACATTCATGCATCCATGCCATGTCCACTTTGAATAAACATAAGCAAATGTAAACAAACAGACGTAACCAATTGGCTAAGTGTGGCAAGTGTAATTGATTAAATTATAACAAATTATATGAATTGATGTTAGATGAATGTCTATGAAATGATAATGAATTCTTCAAATGAAAAAAAACATAAATATTCAACAACATTCAATAAGCACGGATGAAATTAATGAACAAATCAAAATTTAATATGAAGAAAAATTATTTAACTTATAATAAGGATGTGATAAATTTCAAAGAACCATCTGCACATGAAAGGCATCAGGTAAGTAAGTAGGCTGAAATAGGTTTGTTTACATTAGAGAAGATAGGAAGGATGGGAATAGAGAGGGATGTTACAAAATGATATCTCAATGGTGCTTGAAAGTTAAAAAATTGTGAAAAAGTTCTGCATATATATTACTTCTAACAATGCGATATTGTTAACTCATACTTAACAAAAGCAAAATGAATTTGAACTACAAGCCAAATAAAGGCAAGTGGACCTGTAGTTGTTACCGTATGGTGTTGAAATATTTACCATGCATTGTATATCAGATGATAGGACAATAAAACGCCACCTTTGTTGTGCTAATTCAATGTAGTCAATTCTCAGTTGTTGCATGGTGCTCCATAATGTGTGTGTGTGTGTGTGTGTGTGTGTGTGTGTACATATGTCATATGTACACAAAGATATATATGTATGTACCTCATGCAAAATACAATTTTATGGTGGTGTTCATTAATAAATGATAGGGTAGTAAGCGCAAAAAAAACTGGGTCCTGGTGTGTGTGAAACAACTGTTGAATGTATAAGCACGCAGTATTCAACGAAATTAAAGATTTAAAACAACTGTTTGCACAAAAAAGTGTATGTTGCAAACAGCTCATATCTGCTAAGGGAATTTTTAAATCATTATTAGATTCATTTTTTGGTGACTCCATATTTGATTGGCGTTTGAATTCATAATTGTTCCTTTTACACTATATAGTACATTCAATAGTTATCATCTTTTACACTTTAATTAATTATGTTGTTTTATTTTGTTGTGTTGACTTGTGTATTATTATTTAAATATATAAGATAAGTTTATTATGTACATTACCTATTTTATTTATTTATGGTTTATATTTTCGAATTTCTATATTTTTGTTTGGCAAGGGGTTCTGCCCATGCTGTTTTGAATAATAGTAATAATAATAATAATATTTCTTACCCAATCAACATAATCCACACATATTTATTAAGATCAAATGAAAATTCATGAAAAAACTGTACAAATTAAGAGAAACATGGGCTATTGAACCAAATTAATAAAGTGGGAATGTTTTAAAACCGACTACTACATACATAGATTAGGTATATTAGCAATCTATGCAAGACATAAAACGCATCTGCATCCAGCAATAAATTTATAATCTCATCTTCAATCAATAACTACATCATAAACTCAGCAATGAAACATTGGTTTAAACAAATAAAAAGAAGTTGGCACAACCATTAGTCACACATAGCAAACACTGAACACAATGCCATCAAACCTTTATAATATGAACCGACCAACCCAACACCCACATGAAAAAAGATAATATGATAGTATAATATATTAACTAACC